AAAAGATTAAAAAAATAAACCAAAAAAAAAATGCTTGTTAAAAGTCACATGACCATTTCCTCGGCCTCGGCCTAGAGCACAAGAATCTTTTTTCCCCTGATTTCGTTTGAATTCAGCCAGAGAAAAAAAATTACACTCACCTTTGGATTATGGTCATGTATCAAGTTAAGATTGATCCGATGACGGCGCATGGCAGTAAAGGCCTCTCGATAGCTGAGCCTGAAAAACCAAGAGTACATTGATCAACCCATCTATGCCCAATCCTTTGTCAGAGTGGTTATATCAACTAAGTTGAAATTGTAAATTGGCCACCGTAACGAATGAAAAAGCTGACCTTTCGAGCGCTAGCCCTTCGTCGAGCGTTAGCCCTTCGCTCTGACGAAGGGCGAACGCACGAAACGTCAGCTTTTTTATTCGTTACGGTGGTCAATTTACAATTTCAACTTAGTTGATAGAACCAATTACCTTGTTACCCCCCACCGACGCAGCACCACAGTTTCTTTAGAAATTTTCAGCCTTTATCCTTTGTCAGAGTGGTCTGCCTGGGACACAATTGTCAGATTTTTAGACACGATCGTCCGATTTTAGACACTAGCATCCAACTTTGGACACCAGTGTCCGATTTTAGACCCTTGCGTCCGATTTTAGACACCATGTCCGATTTTAGACCATTGCACCCGATTTTAGACATATTGTCCAATTTTAGACAATGTTGTCTGATTTTAGACACCAACATCTGATTAAAGACACTAGTGCCCGATTTTAGATACTAGTGTCTTAAATCTAATTTTATACATTAGTGTACGATTTAGACACTGTTGTCTGCATTTAGATACTAGTTGTTTAATCCAATTTTAGACACTAGTGTCCTATTTTAGACAACAGTGTCTGATTTTAGACACTTATGTCTATAGTTCAATTCTAGACACTAGTTACCTAGTGTCCAGTCTCAACAGGCTTACTCACCTGTCTAAACATTTCTGTAAATATGACAACACTAACGATCGGGGATGAATCGTTTCTATATTTCCACGAGGCATCTATGAGGATAACCAAACAAGGACAACACTTCAGTTGCATAAATCAACCCCAAAAGGAAAATTATGGCCAAAGTTCTCATCATTAAAATAAGTTCTGCATGCGAAGCTGTCTCGTGTACCTAGCGATTCGTAAATATTTCCTGGGAAAACATCATTCTTCCTGGATGGTGTGAGAGTCCAACACTTATTAAATCACACAACAGTTCGTAAATATTCCCAGAGAGTTCACTGGTACCCATTTCTACTCCTGAGTGGAGAGAGGCACCGTGAGAGTAAAAGTGCCTCAACCAACAACACAACGCAGATGTTCCCTTTAAGGTCCCCCAACCCAGACTTCTCGATCGAGAGTCAACCACGGTAACCTAAAGGCCACCACTCCGATCAAGTGGTTCCAGAGCTATTTGTCTGGTCGTACCCAATCAGTGCGCATCGGCTCCATCCGGTCGGATCCGCTACTGATCACACACGGAGTTCCTCAGGGCGCGATACTTTCTCCACTCCTTTTCTACATTTACTTGAACGATCTACCATACGCGCCTCAATTTTGCCATCTTGAGTCTTATGTCGATGATTCTAAAGTCTTGTTACCTTTCATTGCAACTGACTCTAACAATGCCAAGATTAAGCTCGAGGAGGACTTACAAAGAGTCGCTATTCGGTGTTGCGAAAACCAGTTGCTAATAAACCCCGATAAAACGAAATTTATGCTGATTGGCACAAGGCAGCTGATAAATAGACATTCCTATGATTTCTCGGTGTCATTCCTGGGGAAGTCCTTTACCCCTGTTGACTCAGCAAGAGACTTGGGTGTGATCATTGACTCACACCTGACCTATGATAGTCACATTTCTTACTTAGCCTCTTCTTGTTTATCAAAACTAGTCCAGATCAACAGAGTTAAAAATAGTTTCGACAAGGAAACACTAATGGTTGTCATTTCATCACTGGTATTCAGTAAAATGTTCTATTGCTCAACTGTGTGGTCAAATATATCCTCCACTAATATAAAGAAACTGCAACTGATCCAAAAATTTGCTTCTACGATCATCACCGGTTCCAGGAAGTACGATCATGTTACTCCCCTACTGCACCAACTTAACTGGTTGTCAGTGAGCCAGACACTACAACTTAGACATACAGTCATGGCCTACAAGTGTGCCAATAATTTAGCACCTGACTACTTATGTAACAAGTTACAAAAACGCACCACCATACATGATCGAGCCACGCGGCATAGCAACAAACTTCGGATCTCTTTTTATAAGCCCGCGAACGGTCAACAAACCTTTGCCTATAGAGCAGTTTCACTATTAAATTCCCTGAGTAGTGACCTAGTGAACTTGCCTTCAGTAAGGTTACTGAAACATTCTTTGAAGGACTCCCTAAGAGGGGCACATTAATAGTCCTTGTGTGATACCCATTGGACACACACATATACATATATATATATATAGGAAGTCTGCAAGTCGATTTTCGCGTGGAACAGTGCTCAATACGTTGAAGCAGAGCAGAATAAATATTATGAGAGGAAAAAAAGGACGTAACTACATTTCCCGACAAGCCTGTTTCGTGAATCGCTTCACTCTTCAGGGGTTTAATGAAAGAATATTCATGTGACTATCGTTTATATACTAGGAAAATTTGCATAATGCGCGGTAAACTTAAAAACTTTAAAGTTCAGTTGTTGCGTAGCAACGCTTTGTTTCTGTGTCGGCATGAAGATACGAGTTCGTTACGCTTATTTAGTGATGAGAGGTCGGGTCGGTAAATTATCAGGAATTTTTCTTTTAGGCAGAGGTTGCATCTTTTATTGGAGCTGTTNGCGAACGGTCAACGAACCTTTGCCTATAGAGCAGTTTCACTATTAAATTCCCTGAGTAGTGACCTAGTGAACTTGCCTTCAGTAAGGTTACTGAAACATTCTTTGAAGGACTCCCTAAGAGGGGCACATTAATAGTCCTTGTGTGATACCCATTGGACACACACATATACATATATATATATATTTTTTTTTTCACTTTTATTACACTATTTTAAGTTGTTCATTTGTGATTGTAAATTGTCTAGCATTGTAAATAGTTGCTGAAAAGCCTGTACAGGAGTAATTATTAAAGTTCATTCGTTCATTCATTCATTCATTCATTTCGCAACTTACTGCATAAAGGAGGCATAAGCATTAGAGAATTAAACGGAGGAAAATTTAAGTCTCTTTGAAGTATTTCTGTCCTCATACCTGCAGAATAACTTTCGTATCCTGAGTAACAGCAACAACTATACGTGAACCTCTCTCAACGCGTCTTATGTTTTCATCTAAAGGATGCGGTTTATCTTCAACTAAGACTGGCAAACCTACGAAATCAAGAAGTAAGTCGGAAGTGAGCTTTCGCTGACATTAAACACGTTTGCGCATTTTTTGTGGCAGTAAAAGTGGTGGATTCTTAAACGCACTAACTCGGAGTTTGTTTATGCGAAAAAGTTTCCTCTTAATTTCATAAGAGCTTTATTTCTTAGAATTCGAGTTGGTCTTTGCTAATCGAAAGGACTGGAACCTACCTCGCGTGGTTGGTAAAAGACTTATACAACGCAACGTGTGCGCATGCGTTGTTAGAAGAAGAAATTCATCATGAACAGCGAAGGAAGTGCAGTTTGAGGCCACCTGGAAAGTAACAAGTCAAAACACGTGTTCCGCTGTCAGCTGTGGAGTTGAATTTAGCGATACGGTAAAAGCATCACAGAAGAGAATCATACCTCTTTGCAATTAACGTATAACCTTGAGTGTTCAGTCAATCCGAGAACGACTTCCTGGAAATTAAAAGAAAGGGTCGTTTAGTTACGGCACAGTGGCTTCGTGGAAAGTTTTCTGGAGTCCGGATCAAAATGTTAGGGTTTAACTTTTGCCTACGGTTGACAGTTTTCGTTTTTCAGGTTGGAGGGACTCAAAGTTTATCTGCTTTCACGGGTGTTTTTTGTCCTGTTCTAGGGATTAATCTGCCACAGAAGCTGAATAAGATATCGCTACTTCATCCCAAAGAATAGAAGTCCGCAATCATTTGAAAACAGTCCTTTAGGGTGGGGTGGGGGGGAGGTGCAATTCCTCACTGAGACACTATGGTCACACATCTTTTCCGTCCCAAAGAAATTGCTTTAAAAATGTCTGATAACTACAGAATCAACTTTGATGTCTAAAAAGAATTAGATTTGAATTACAAACCTCATCTCCCACTAAAGCTGTTTTAATACACTGGCAGGGCTGGGGGAGAGAGATTTCAAGTCCTCGACTGTTAAACCATGTTGATAATTTGGCCTGGTTTGTATCTGATAAGAAAAAATTATACATTTCTTCAGATATCTAAGAGCTTTGAACAAGAACACGACTTTATCATTGCCTTTTAACTTAGATACCTGAAGTGTAACTAAGCAAGTTTCCATTAACAAGTTCCACTAACACAGACTCAGTGTGATGGCTGGCACAAAGACGAAGGACTGGCGCGTCTGTTTCAGTCATGCGCCTGGGAAGAAAAGAAAAGAAAGTGGGAGCAATAGAACAATATGCGTATTCTCAATACTGTTCTCTATACATTTCCTAATGTGCTGTCAAGGAGAGTTTCGTTTGACAATCAAGAGCTTCTTTGTTTGGGGATCATTTCCTTTATTCCCGTGAGCTTAATGAGTTATTCAGGAGTGATATTGTAAGGAGAAATTAGATGTTGGTCACTCTCATTCAGATTCATGCTCGCACTGTATGCTAGTTATGCAGATCACTGTTTCACTTGATTTCTTAACACTGAGTAAAAAGCAAACAAAAATGAAAGGCAGCAAGGTGTTTCATACAAAATACAGGGTGCTTGCGAGTCATAGAAAATTAAATTCTCAAGAATTTGACAGAATCAATCAGGACGAAATGAATTGGTGGACAGGTCAACTACCATTTCTTTTTTTTCATTCTTTAAGTCTTTATTGAATAGACAAGTAAAAATACATACCTATATTTACATGTTTAAATTATTAATTTGTAAAAAGTTAAAAAGCGGAAGCATATTTAAAATACAGTCTATTAATATAACTAGCTTTGAAACGTTCTGTGTTTACACAAGGTACTAGGCTTGTTTGAGTTCTCAAACGTTTGGAAGATTGAGAACTTGATATCTACCGGTAAACTTACCATTGTTAAGTTTACCGGTAGATATCATTGACGTCAGTTGATATCACTTTGCATGTTGTGTACAAAAATTGTCTGGCTTGCGATATACTATATTGAACCCCTGTTAATTGTAGACTGGCTGTGATTCACAAAGGACGGAAATAGGAATAAGCAGGATTGTATCACTGCGAATAAATGCAAGTTCAACTCTCACCTTATAACAATTCTATCAGCCCTATCTTCTACGGAAATCTCCAATTCACAAATAATGTCTTTCTGAGTCATGGTATACCATCCAACTGCAATAAGGGTGCACTCCTTCCACCAAATCATCTGCCGCCAACACAAGGCCCCTGTCCATACTGTTGGATAGTCTGTGGTGTCTATACTGTTGTGTACAGAAGACACATGAGAAAGGGTGAGTAAATATGCAACAAACTTGTGTGCACAAGTCAGTCACAACTCCAAGATTCTCAAAGTTGCCATTTTGTATCCTTAAATTATAAAATGGTGGCCTGGGTCTGGGGTCACTTTATCTTCAGACCCTAAAAACTAAGCTATAAAAACGTTCTAACCTGTCACAGGAATGTCACTGACACACAGGTCTCCAAATTGATGACTTAGTTGCCAAAATTGCTTTTAAGTCACAATGGCAACCAAAGTGGTCATTGCTTGGAGAAGAATACAAGGTAACAATTCAAACACATCTTTCTATTATCTGTTGATTTCTGTACCAAAAATTAGAATATTGTTATGACCAAATGATGAAACTAGGTTACCTGTACATGCCAGTAAGGTTTGGGGCCTTGCCAGGTGCCTTGAACACTTCTTTTACACCATTTTCTGTCAATAATTTGAAAATTGCCACCTTGCCATTGGACATTATAATCGCCATATCATTACAGTGTGTCAAGGGAGCAAAGCTGATTAAGGAGACTGGGGAGAGCAGGTCCACAGCATAGGCAGACATTGGAGGGGGGATCACCATGTGCTTCATTGGGGTCAGCAGCAACTTAGCTGAAAATAAGATAAGGAATATCTGAAATTAGTATATACTAAAACAGTGGATAGCGTTGAAGGCGCGCTCTGATTGGCTAGTCAAACTCCGAATATCCTTTGCTATTTACCTCCGAGCAACTCGGGAAAAATGGCGTCCCGGTTTGCATCAGTGACAAGCGAAGAAATCACTCAAATTAATGACGGTAGTGTATATTATCTCACTGTTTTAGTATATACTAAAGCAACTATTCACCTCAGTGTCGGTGGTTAGCGGTTGATATTTAGCTCGCTGCTTTGCGGCTCAGTAAATATCCACCACTAACCACCTCCACTTCGGTGAATAGTTGTTAATTAACCTTTTACAACCTAATATCAGTGTGTATATTCTCCAACTGTTCTCTATACATTTCCTAAGGTGCTGACAAGGAGAATTTGTTTAACAATCAAGAGCTTCTTTAGTTGGTGATCATTTCCTTTATTCTCATAACTTTAATGTTTGATTGAGGGGTGATATTGTAAGGAGAAATTAGATGCTAGTCACACTTGGGAGTCACAGGCTTAGAATTACACATGGCTAAATTTGTCGATGGCCATGCATGCTAAGAACTGCACAATACCCTGCCATGTTTATGTACATAAACAACCATAAATGTGGGAACAGGTGAGATGTGGAGACCTTACATAAAGAACAGAGAACAATACACAGGGCTATGAATACACATTGGAATGAATACACATGTCTGCAATTGCCAATGGCCATGCAGGCTAAGAGCAGGAAAATTACCTGCCATGCCTATGTACAAATACGGACATAATTGTGGGAACAAGGGAGATGTGGAGACCTTCCAGTCTGTTTTATGAACAGGACATATTCTACATAGAGAAGAGAGAATAATCTCAATTCAAAATTCCGAAACAATTTTGACACTTCCAAAGCTAGAACAGCACTACAAACTGTACCTCCATCAATAACTGCAACAGTGGACATGTTCTGTTCACTGTTCCCTTCACTATGAACTGTGCTCCAACACCACTCATAACTGAAGTATTGACCTCCTGTATGAGGAAATTTAAAAAACCGAATTTTTTAAAACTCTGCATTACAATAGAAATAATCAAGAAGTCAACTCAGCTCAATCTTGGTCAAATAAATCATGGAAGATCAGATCTTTGACTGAGAGGGACATTTATCTTGCATCTTTCAAAATTTCTGTTTGTTCGTTCTTACCTCTCATCATGATATGCATTCGTAATGGAACCTCTGGGTCCCATGCAAGACAGGCCACTCTGTGGATCACAGATGCTGGGAATTCCAGTTGCTGCTTCAGATACCAGTGATAATTATTTACTGTCCATAGCTGCACTGCAAGTCACAAGAGAAAAAAAAGTATTGCAACTACTGTCACACTATTGGTAGAACATGTTTTAATAATTTAAAACAAAAAATATCTAGCAAAATTGTTACTTGGAGAGATGAGAGAGCAATTCTCAGCACTTTTTCTTTACATGTAAATAAAAAAGACAATTGTCAAATAAAAAAATGGAGAATACAAACCATAAGACTTTGGTGCAAATTCCTGAGTCTGTTCTGGGCTTGGTAACTCTTCAGCCCACACCAACAGTACTGACGAGTCATTATTCCACACCATTTCCAGTACCTACGTACAAGACATTATAATTACAACATAAAAAATGTTAGCATATACCAGTAACTCTTTTGGAGAGTGGCATGTTGCAGCCACACAATGGGAACTATCATGGCAGCAAAGAGAGCAACAACAGTCTTTGCTTCCATAAAAAAAAAAAGGTAAGACATCTGTTCTGAAATTGTTAAGCCCATGGGCATACTGTAGCCAGGGGTTTCAATAAAAGCTTGTTACCAGAAGTCTACTACTACATCTAACACCTCTCACATTCTGTACTCTGTAATTAGCTTGTGAGCAGGCTCTTGTGTTTGGGTTTTCCCTCACAGCACAGCCACCCATTGCAGCCACTTATTGAAAAAGTTACAGAAACCCCTGGTTACAGCTATCATCATTTATAACATCACAGCTACATTCCATATGCAAACCAATCTATAGAGAGTATTTGAGATTGCTAAATTAGGCTAACACCTCGATGAGATTTTAATTTAACTAATACAAAACCATCTTGTACCAAATCAGCCATGAAGTAATGTCAGACTTGTTTCACCCTTTGGTCTCTGAGAGTCTTGCATCTTATTTTTCCTTACATTATCATCCCAGAATCCAACACTAAGGTGATGGCAATAAAAGAAATGATTGCCAACTAAAGAAGCTCTGACTTGATTGTTAAACAAATTCTCCTTGTCAGCACCTTAGGAAATGTACAAAGAACAGTATGGAGAATATACATACTGATATTAGTGTGTAAACAGTTCACTTCTATTTACCCTAACTTCCATCTTGCCAAAAGGAAGCACAAATTCCCCATGTCTGAGCCCATTTCTCTCAAAGAAAATCACTTCATGTCTGTGAGGCTTACGCTGGGTTGAAGCTATTAAGCTGCCTGATGGTCTGAAAAGATAATTACATAAAAAATGTATAAAAAAATTAAGTAAAATGAGCTTGAGGGAAAACAACAAAACACTGCTAAACACTCTTGTGAACCTACTTCCAAGATAATGCCTGTTCCAATCCATCTACACTTTCACTTGTAGAGCTGAGAACACCTTCCCTATTCCACACTCTCAATGTTCTGGCCCCTATCATCAAACATACAATTATATATGTGTGTGTGTTACACTACATATATTTTGGTATGGACTAAAATCCTGAACAAAATTAACTGACACATTTCATTGCTTAAGTCTCTTTGGGAAGTATATACTGAAGACATGGACTTCAAAATGAGCCATAGTTTGCCAATCCAATGCTGTATAATGAACAAAAGCAAGAAAATGTGACAATGAAGAGGAGGGAAGAGATGAAGGTAAGAGTACAAGGAATCGAAATGAACATGCTTGAGCAGATACCTGTCAAAGGATGGATTGCACTGGCCACAAAAAATTGTCCATCACCACGCCAGCTGATTCTTGGTTTCCTATCATCCCAGCTTGCAGCAGGCTTGGCAATCTGTTGAAGAATGAAATCAAAGTCAATGCTATCCTTCACATGCAACCGAAAAGATTCAAGTGAATTTTTAACAAGTGTTAAACTACAAAGTAACAACAATGAATTCATTCCTCCATGGAACATTTGAAGTACACAGGTATGATTATTACTACAATAACATGAATATTGCACCATGGATTTAAGAAAATCACTCACAACTTCCTGTACATCAGCAGCTGTTGGTTTGCCTTGGGACCCATGGAACTGTGTTTCTTTCTTTCCCCAACCAACTGTGATTGGTTTTTCTAGTAGGAAAAAATATGTGTGAATAGTCATAGAGTCTCCATAAATCTATATCATAATCCTTAGTTTTAATTGTTAATCTAAAATCAATAGAAAGTTAATCTTAATATTTGTAACAATGGACAAATTAAAGATCTTCAGAAAGTGAGTTGTGTCCTGCAGGAATACATTTAGGTCTTAAAAGCAATTTGATGACTCACCTTCACCAAACTCCTCTGAGTAAAAAGGAAACTCAGAAATTGGATCAAAATCCTTTGTCATTATGATAAGAGTTTCTTCTCCTAAAACATGTTAAAGGAACAGTTATCAGGTTTCACAAAGATGAGGAAATTGCATTCTGTTGCACTGTATCCAAAACAGCATACATACTTACAGAAACTAATTCTTAAATTGTCATGAACATGAATAATGTTTTCCAACCTGTCATGAAAACCACAAGCTCTTGATCAGGACTCCATCCCATACACCTTAGGCCACTGTCCACACTTCCAACACATTCAACCTGGCAAAGAAACATATTAACTGAGCCACATCACCTGTCTAGACTTGTCAGGACCCTCCTATGGCTTCATTTTTTCTACTTATTTTTCCCTTTTTTTTTTTTCTTTTTATGTAATTTACCATAAATACTTCTATCAAATTGTAAAACATATTTTTACTTCATAATAACAAGGTAAAACTGTGTGAGGTGCAAATAATTCAAATTTATGATAATCAACCTCCACTTCCTCCCCTATTCCAAACCATGGCCTCTTCTAACCTCCCCCCAAGGTTTTAACCAGTTGATCATGATTGGAAATTCAGAAACTACAAAAGTATCTTAAGCATGAAAGTAACACAGGCACACCAGCATGAGCCACTGAGATTGAAAAATGACCTGGCCGGGTCTCAAACTTGGACCTTCGACCCGCACTCAAGCTCACAAACCATTAGGCAAGCCTGTCTCTGACACAAGCCTTTGAGGTGTGGAATATTCACAGGGTCTCATCAAAAAAATCCGAACTTGGCTAATACCTGGTCAGTAACTGTATTCCAAAGAATCACATCTCCTTTTCCAGTGGCCACACATACAGATTCCAAGTCTGGCAAGTGCTGCATTCCAATAACACAGCCGCTACCATCCTTTGGTAGGTAACCATCGGATACAAGTGAAACAGAACTTACAGCCTGTCAGAATGAAATAAAAAAAATTAAGCTTATTGTACAGTAGTTGTTGACTGTCGCTTGAAAAATTTTTCAAGGGTGAATTTTGATAGGCAGAATTATACGGATTACCTGTTGAGTGGTGGGCTGGAAGCCTGTTATTTGAGTAGATGTTGCTATGTAAATAACTCCACAATCACAATCCACTGCCAAACAAAATGGCTCCTCAGTTCCTTCCAACTCAAGCACAGGAAAACTTCTCAGTAGTTCAAGATTCCTCATATCTTATATCCGAAGAAGAAGACTATCTCCTTTAATTTATGACACGGGTTATATATTATGAAATAAACACAGCTGAACTGGTCTGTTTCGGACACGTGCTGGGCGAATAGTTTCTAATCGTCCTTTCCTTCGACCGAGTCAAACGGAGATACGCACACAACGACAGGTTGCAATTACTAGACTCGTCTATGCTATAAAAAGCCAAATATTACTGATGGTGTAGTAAAGAAACCAGGCAGATAAAATTCACATGTGCAGAAAACAACATCCTCGTGATACCGCTGGCTATTATCATCCAGAAAGACTGGAAACTACTTCCAAGTTCCTTGCTAGTTATTCATATTTTGCAATCTACTTCGTGAGCGTACATGTCATTTACTGTCAAACTTCTACGTAGTAAGATATCTCAACATTATCTTTCCCCTTTCTCCAAATCATCAAATTATACAGGCTTACAATTTGGTTTAGTTCAACACTTGAGATTATTTGGCGACGATGTTTCTGAGCCCGCCATATCAATCTTTATGGATCTAATTGATCTTAACTGAGCCCGCAAATACGGACTATCGTGACGGCAGAATCTGCATTAGAGGAAAAGCTCTAAATTTCTTCTCTGGGAACTCGCATAGTGGCTTACTGACACGTTTCCACTGACACGTTTCCATCATTTTTGGCTAGGATGTTTTAATGTGCGAGTCTGTAAATGAGGAAATTTTGGAAGCTCAGTCTAAAGGACATACCAACCTCTATTTGAATTATCGTAAGCTTAGCGAATTGCCTGAGGAACTTCTAACCTTGTCCAGGGTAAAGAAACTTTACCTCAAACGAAATGTTCTGACCAAGTTGGTAAGAAAACTTGAATAGGCTTCATAAAACATTCGTAAAAACAACACATTTCCTTATGAATTTATCCCAGTAACCGTTTGCTGTTTACATTTTAGCCAGCAGATATCTGGAAGCTTGAAAATCTGGTAGAGCTGTGAGTAAACTCAATGAGACAAACATAAATAAATAAATGAACAAATACTCTTATTTAAGTAAAAGTTTTCTTTTGCCTCGTAACATTACCCACTTTCCCTGAGTTTGCTAACTTTGACTCAGATCACCTTGGCTGGGTCTCTGACCTAAGGTCTGTGGATTAACTATGTGGGTGGGTGTACTGTGGAACACTATATAAACTTCTCTGTTGTGATTATGGCCCTTTCCAAAATGACTTTGGCACAGATTTAAACCAAAGGCTAGAAAATTAATATGCTTGCAGTGTCAAGAAGTGGTTTTCAAAGCAGCAGACTAATTTTAAGGTGGTATTGAATTTATCTGATTTGTGTTTTTTTTTTCTATTATTTTGCAGATATTTATATTCTAATTACCTTCATCACCTTCCAGATGGTAAAAAATTATTGTCAACCTTTTCATAATTGTATAATATGTAAAATTTACCAATTTTTTTTTCTTAATTTTTATAAGTTTTTAGTAGAAATCTTTTTGAAAAATACCAGTTGGCCATGCAAGGAAACCTCATGTTGCACTACCCTGCTAGCATAACTTCTGGACATCATTCCAAAGTCAGTCTCTCATAGAGACTTAACTTTACCTACACTTTAGTTTTCCAATTTTTATTGGGCTATTATCAGGAAGAGATGGGATAGCTTCATGGTAATTAGCTGAGGGGGATCCAGGGGTGGTTGGGTAGAAACCCCTAAACTGTCCCTCAAAATGCTGGAAATCATTTTTCCGAAGACCTTATTTTCAAAATCTCCAGGGGTAGCATTCCCTCGGACATTTCTCGGAACCGCCATTAAATAAATCCTGGATCAGCCCCAGCTTAGTGTGCTTGACTCTGGATGGAGTGGTCTGGATTCATGCCCTAGATTCAGGCCCTGGCTTGTAAACAGACTTTACAATCAGGAAAATATGTGAGTTTGTCAGAGATTTGTGCAATCCAGCCAAGATACTGAGATAGGGTGCTATAAAGATACTGGATGGTATTAATGCATGGGAGTCTGATGAGAATTTCCTCTTCTGGCTTGTAGAGATTGGAAAACTTCAGTTGCTTGAAAAATTAAATGTCGGCTTCAACTACCTTAACATCCTGACACCAGCTATAGGTCAGCTGAAATCACTGACTTCACTTCAACTTGCCAACAACCAGTTGACATATTTACCCAAAGGTATTTAGTGTTTTTGTATCATTTAGTCAGTATAATTGTTGTTGTTTTATTTTTTTCGATAATTAGATATAGCCCTGACTGGGCAGACCGGCGGGTGTAGTAAAAGGGGGTTTAAAGGTGTATCTGATTGCCTCATTGTCCAGAAAAAGTGACAAATTACACTAACAAAACACATTGATTCTTTGGGTGTCCATAGAGCTTGGAAATCTCACCAATTTGAGAGATCTCAATGTCATGAACAACAAGCTTGAATGGTTACCATGGCAATTGTGTAACTGTTCATCACTCAAGATTCTGTCGTTTGATGGGAATGCAGTTCAGAAGATTCCACATCAATTGATGACTCATCAGGGACTGGCTGAACTGTATGCCAGTGGAAACAAACTTTGTACTTTGCCTCAAGGTAAACCTTTAGTGTTCTTAAATCCACATACCTGTAGTAATTCAAGTTTGGCTGTGTTCAAGTACTGAAAAGAAATTTATAGCTCTCCAAAGAAGTTTTTTCCCCTTCAGTTGAGTGGATAACACATGCATAGATCTTTGTGATTCTTGTGTTGTGACTCTGCAGATTTGAATAAACTCTCCTCTTTGGAGTTCCTGATACTGGATCACAATACTGAACTTCAGCTGTTGCCAGCAACTCTACTAAAAATGAAGGATTTAAAAATGATTGGCCTGAGTGGTTGGTATGTGTCTCAAATCTGATTGATCACTTTCTCCTTTGAAATTGCCTTTGTTGCTGATTCAACTCTAAAGGACCACTAAACAGTAGTTGCAGACCACTGCAAGCTGAAAGTTCTGTCATCAAATTTGACTTAAGACTTAAAGATGGGGCATAAATTTGAGTAACATTCTCTCTTGATTATTTAGTGGCTCTAAGGAGCCAGCTCGACTGCCAAGGACAGATTCTAAAGGTGAGAACTGAAGTCAAAGTGATATTGTTTTAATTGTTTTCCTTTGTAAAAAGGCTCTACCAATTCATTAAAAGTTATTTTATTCCAAGCTTTGTGACTCTGTTTCAACTAAAAATGTTTTAAAGTTGCAAATACATTTTTTTGACAGAATTGGAGGAAGTTTTTAATGTGAGGAATATTCTTCAAGGGAGCAGTGGAAGAATCCCTCCTCTCCTGGAGTTGTGTTTCAGAGCAGTGTTATGCCTTGGTGAGTTTTGGTTTCTTTCTTCAAGGGAACTAATAGTACAGTGTCGGCTTTTCATCTGTGCTTCAGAAAGTTTCTTTGTTTATGCTAAAGTGAAAGTGCAAAGGCTGAGAAAGCACATTGCTTTCTCAGCCTTTGCACTGATTGGTTGTTGTGATAACTGATAAAAAGTTTTACTTAACTGAAATGAACTCAATTTCTGGCACAAAAACAAATATGAAACTTTGGAGTACTCGTGCATGGAAGATTGCCTAGTAAGTGAATCAGAATTGGTAGGTTAACGAACAAAAAAATGTCCAGAAACGTGGAAAAGGAATGACCCAAAAAATAAGGAATTGCAAGAGGTCACCTGTATTAAAATACATACAAGTACAGTATGGTCAGTGCAGCACAAAGTGCATTCTTGTGGTTTCTGCCTAGTGCTCACAAATTTCCTCAAATCCTTCACTTCAGGATCGAAAATTTCATTTTTATCGCAATATGCGCAACTGGTGCAGCGTTTGTTGTACACCAACTTAATTAACTTAATTAGATCATCGTAACATCTAATATTTCAGTGTGTTCTTAAGCCTGCATTCAAAAATCAGGTCATAATAATTTTATGAGTTATTCTCACAAACCAGTGCATCTGCAGATCTTCTGCGATTTTTGTGTTTGTAATCGGTAAATTAAGACAGAATTCTTTTGATTGACAACTTGTTAATTTGAAAGACTTCCGCCATCATGGTTATTTCCTTTCATAGTTCAGTCACTCAATGATGAAAAACTCTATTCCCTTGAGCTGCCATCCCACGTAACCAAGTTACTGGCTGCGCCCACAGGTCACTGTTTCGTTTGTGACAGTTGTTACTTCACAGCGGTGTTCTTCCGAGAAGAAAACGCCGACACAGCACTGCGTATCACTAAGCCCAGCGCCGAAATCTTCCAGGGATTGGGTGACACTACGTCTTCATTTGTCTTTTGTTGCTGCTCAAGGAATTGTTTGGATGAAGTGGGCAGATTGTGTGACATTCCTGTTTAGGGAACAGAATAATATACAGAAGTCGTGTTAGAAGGAGCATTTATTTTCATGGAGATTTTTACAGAAATTTTTACCAGCTAATATGCTGACCTAAAGTCTGTGTTTGTATGTTATGGACTTCAGAATTCCACTGAAATATTTCCTCGGAGTGTGGCCCCAATATAATTGAATCATAAAGGGGCTTTAGGAAAGCGGTGACTTGGCGTAAAGGGAAAAGAAAAGGATTACGTAAAACTCCGGGAGCTGTCAAATTTATCGTAATTTGTTGTTTTGGTTCAATATTCTGAGCATCAATTCCATCACGCAGATGACGAATAAAACAAAAAAAAGCAAGCGCATGATAGGTAATGAAAGGAAATAAATCGCAAAATATTTGTCACATCGATCAGGGGATTTTCCTGTCTTACCCCTATGGTAAAGGAATTCATGGTGTGAAGAGTAATGAGGATATACTTCTTACAGCGTACACTAATTAACAACTATTCCACGAGCGCGCGTTGCTCTTAATCCAAGGGGTATTTCTCTTAATCCAAGGGGTATTTCTCTTAATCCAAGGGGTATTTCTCTTAATCCAAGGGGTATTTCTCTTAATCCAAGGGGTATTTCTCTTAATCCAAGGGGTATTTCTCTTAATCCAAGGGGTATTTCTCTTAATCCAAGGGGTATTTCTCTTAATCCAAGGTCTATTTCTCATAATCCAAGGGATGTTTCTCTTAATCCAAGGTCTATTTCTCATTAACCAAGGAGTATTTCTCTTAATCCAAGGGGTATTTCTCGTAAAGCAAGAGGTATTTCTCACAGCCCTATGGGTATTCTTTGTCATTTTAGAGGTGATTCTTGTGTTCCAGGGGTATTCCTTGCATTCTAGGGGTATTTCTTGTTGTATTTCTTGCATTCCTTGGAGTATTTTATCCAGACGAATGTACAGAAAAAATCGTCAAATATTAAGCTCAACTGATTATTCGTAGGTGAGGCTGTGTTTGTTTCGTAAACGATTTTGGCATCGAATTGTTCATTTTGGACTTTTTTTTTTTCGATTTTCAGTGTTCATTAAAAAGGCGTTTTCGAAGGAATTGTTCCTGCTGGTAATTTTCGAATAAAAGTGCAATGTCAAGAGGATACTGGCAATTTTGTTCCAATAGTAATTTTTTTAGTTGACACAGTTTCGACATGTACTCGCTATTTGTCAAATTTCCCCTGTTGGGATTCGTCTGCTTATGGACATTGTTAGCTTCTTGGCTTTTTAGTGAATGGACTTGGTAGATTCAGCTGTTAAGGGTACAAATTCATCAAAAGGAACTCAGCACCTGGAAATTAAAGCTTCATTCGCTGATTTTTGTTGATTCAAACTGAATAAGTGAATTTGCTAAAGAGGCATTGAGAAAGATTGTAATTGGAAATGATAATGAATCTGCCAGTTGTTACAATTTGTTATGCAACAGCAAATTCAAAACAACATAACTCTCTGCCCTTATCTTATAGGCTCTATCATAAATAATTTTTTAATGTCTTGGTATATATATTTAAACAGGCGCATGATTCTTTTTGCAATTAACACTTATAGACAATCTACAAGCGAATTAATCGAAGTATAACCTCTAGAAGATGAAACTTTTTTCCCAAGGGTTTTGTTTCCATGTAAACGAACTTACTTGAGATACGGGAGGTAAATTGTCCTTCATTGTTCATTGTTCCGAGTGAATGATTTTTTCCTCGAAGCAAGGCCTCATCATCATTCAAACTGTCCAAACTCTATAGAGTTGCCCCGTAACTTGTCAGCGTTACTGGTGGCGTCGTAACTTGTCGGGAACTTTTTTCCTTTTTCAAATAGCGTACAATGAACGATAGTGAAGTTGGCAGTGCAGGTGACGGTTACTGGCTTTTTGTGGAAGAATACACCGCTGAATATGAGAAGTACTATGTGGTTTTGAACGCCACAATTGTAGTTCGACTTTTCTTGGCTTTTCTCGGCGTCATCGCCAACTGTACTGTATGTGGTGTTCTCCTCCGACAGAAAAGACTAATAAAGAACTTTTCGAACTTCCACCTCTTCAATCTTACGCTGACAGACATCATTTTTAGAGTGGTTCTCACGCCGTTGCAAATTATCATTGAAAATACTACTGTTGTACATGGCAACAACGCAGTTTGCAAGCTTGGCGCGTTTTTCACCTACACCACATTGGCCGTAACATTCACATTGCTTTTAGGGATGGCTTTCGATCGCTATGTGCATATTGTTCATCCTATTAAAGCAAGGAACATCACATGGAAACACAGCCGAAATGTCATGGTAATTTCGTGGCTGTACGCGGCATTTTGTTCCTCGCCAATCCTGTACAGTATGAAGTACAGTAAATTGGATTGGAATCTGACAGACAAGTCATCATACGAGATATGCCATCCCATGTTAGGCCTGCCTTTTCAAGTTTCCTCTGGTATGTTTCTCGTGTTTGCATTTTTAATCCCTTTGGTTGTCATGGCAGTGGCATACGGCAAGGTTTTGAAAAGTCTCTGGCAGCACGCGCGAAGTAAAGTTATAAATTCGAAAATAGCAGAAGCAAAGGTTCGTGCCATGAAAATGATGGTCATCATTGTATTAGCGTATACCATCAGCTGGGGTCCAAAACTGACTTGGCTTTGCCTTCAAGCTTTTGAAGTTATTTCTTTGGAATACGATTATTTCTGGGAAGGAGATGAAATGTCCTACGATTCCCAAATAGAAACGTTCAAATATTACATAAAGTTACTTATTATTGACGATATGATCGATGTAATTACGTTTACAAGTTCGATTTTGAATCCCCTAATCTTTGGCTATTATAACAAGTCTTTTCGAGAAGATCTAAAGAAATGCTGTTGTGGAGGAAATTGTTCAAATATTTTTCAAAACTGCCAGCGTAAGACAGAGAAGCATAAACAAGTGGACAAGAAAAGTGTTGTCCGTTTGGGCGAAACATTGAGAACTACTGAAACTGTCTTTGTGGAAGAAGAGGACACGAAAGCTGTTGAATATAATTACGCGTTAGAAAACAGAGCAACAATTACGGAAGATTGTCAAGAGACGAAGTTGTAAAATGCAAAAGATATTAAGTTAAGGACAGATATAATTGTAGGTTTGCTTGAAGAACATTCGCACGCAGACGATCAGTGTTTGAGTTTACACTCGCCGCCGTCTGTTTAAGAAGCGCCGCAGGCCAGCCTTAAATGACATTTGTATTTTAATTGCAGTTGAAATTTGCATTAGTTAAAGCACTAGATAGCGAACTTCACGCTAAATAATTGAAAAATCGTGGGATGCTGTTTATTGTACAGTAAAATAGTAAAAGAGTGGAGATGTACCTCAAGAGATACAGACAGTCAAGTTACTGCTGTGTTTGAGCTAGCCACGGACTTCCACCACTTCCCAAATGTTTCGGAGACTGATCCGAGCGGGTTTTGCCCCTGATGCCCAAGCTCAAGTGAGAGCTTCCTCGCATGCTTATATTCTATTTTGTTTTAGCCAAGAACCAATGGAGAAACGTTATCAGGGATACCAATTGTTGAGTTTTGCTACAGTCAGGTTGAAGAGACCCGCTTTTGTGTTAGAAGGTCGGGAATTTGCTACCTGGAGTTAACAAATGGTAAACACCACAGCGTACACTAATTAACAANCATAACCAAAGCAAAGCGCGCGCTCTGATTGGTCAATTTAGCGTCCCCCATTTGCCCATGGGTGTACGCTGCTGACGTGAGCAAATGCAAAGACTATTTTTCCGCGCGCGCTTGTTTTTTCTGGTCACGTAAGATTTGTTAAATAAAAGGGAACTCTTTAGCTACAATGTATCAATGTTATGTTATAAAACAAATGGTAAACACCACAGCGTACACTATTGAGTTATGGATGCACGCGGGAGGTTGCTAAGCACGAAAGAAGCGTAAGAGTCGCTCGAGGCGATAGCCGAGAGCGACTCTAGCTTCTTGAGTGCTTAGCAAACCTCCCAAGTGCATCCATAACTCAATAGTGTACGCTGTGGTGTTTACCATTTGTTTTATAACATAACATTGATACATTGTAGCTAAAGAGTTCCCTTTTATTTAACAAATCTTACGTGACCAGAAAAAACAAGCGCGCGCGGAAAAATAGTCTTTGCATTTGCTCACGTCAGCAGCGTACACCCATGGGCAAATGGGGGACGCTAAATTGACCAATCAGAGCGCGCGCTTTGCTTTGGTTATGTTATAAAAATCATCGGCGGAAGTGACTTGACATGTAAATTGATCGACTTTGGTGTACACACTACTTTGGCGGTTACATTTTTTATTCTGGTCGAAACAGCAATTGATCGATACATTCACATTGATCATCCGTTTAGGGCCAGGACAATTACATGGAAACACAGTAGAAATGTAATTTTACTATCATGGATTTGCGGAGTGCTTTTTTCTTCACCATTTTTGAAAAGCACAGTATGGGCTGTTGAAGTCAACGAGGAGACCATGAAAGAATTTGGGGACTGCGATGACAAACATGGCCTATCGTTTCAGATTTCCTTAATTGAGTTCCTTTTAGGTTCGTTCCTTCTTCCCCTGGTTTTCATGGCAGTTGTTTACAGTAGAATTATTATTGTTCTATGGCAAGATAACACGCAAAAACATGGTCAAGAGCAAACTTCGAGACATCAAAATGATGGTGTTGGTTGCGTTGCATATTTCATTACATGGAACGCATGTGGTTAATTATCAGCCCTTAAAGTGTCACTACTTTGAACAGTTTTTTTCCCTTAGGGGCCGACCATTTAACTTTTGAGGTGGGGTGGTGGGGGGGGGGTGGTTGAAGTCAACGAGGAGACATGGAAGAATTTGGGAACTGCGAAGATAAACATGGCCTATCGTTTCAGATTTCCTTAAATGTGTTCCCTTTCGGGTTCGTTCATTCTTCCCTTGGTTTTCATGGGAGTTGTTTACAGTAGAATTGCGATTGTTCTATGGCGTCGAGCTCGTTCCAAGATAACAAGCAAAAACATGATCGAGACCAAACTTCGAGTCGTGAAAATGATGGTGTTGGTTGTCCTTACATATTTCATTACATGGGGTCCATATCTTGTTGTTAAAACTGTGAGAGCCTATTCTTTTAAGGGAAGAAGTTCTGGAGAAGTTGAGGGAGAAGGATCAACTGAAATACATTTGATAATTGGTTATATCAACTAAGTTGAAATTGTAAATTGGCCACCGTAACGAATAAAAAAGCTGACGTTTCGAGCGTTAGCTCTTCGTCAGAGCGAAAGGAGGAATTGTGGGTTGTATGTGGTTTTATATGCAGAAAGCGGAGCTACGCCAATGGTGGGAACATGGCAACGAGAAAAACACGTATGAATCAGTGGAATGAAAAACGTTCGTTGCCATTGGGAGTACGGCTTTATTTTACAAAAGTATAGGGCTATAAAGAAATCTTATCTGGATTTGGATTGCAACTTCTCCCCACGTCGTGTTGTAAGAACTTACCTCGTCTCGGAGGCAGTGTAAAAAAACGAAAAGGCCCTCGCTAAGATATCACCTACCGAGTAGACCTGTGCCGTTTCATTCCACTAATTTATTCGTATTTTCTCGTTGCCATGTTCCCACCAATGGCGTAGCTCCGCTTTCTACATATAAAACCACACTGATACAACCCACAATTCCTTCATTCGCTCTGACGAAGGGCTAATGCTCGAAACGTCAGCTTTTTTATTCGTTACGGAGGCCAATTTACAATTTCAACTTAGTTGATATAACCAATGATCTTGTTACCCCCACCGACGCAGCACCACAGTTCCTTTAGAAACTTTCAGCCTGAAATACATTTGAATGACGAGGAACTTGGCATGTCGTTACAATTTTTTGAAGGCATATCTGAATCATTATCGTTGATGAGTTCCATTTTAAACCCCCCGATATTTAGCTACTACAACGCAAGCTTTAAAGAAGAAGTAAAGAACATTTTTCATAGAATGAAAGGTGCGAAATTTCTTGGGCAACGTAAACACACCGTTATGCCTTTGTCAGTGAAAACGCGTGATACCATGGCAAAGGCAACGCAGTCAGGCTGCAAACTTTACTAACAGTAACACTCGCGTCAAGAACTGAATTGAAAATAGATATTCCCAAAATGAATTGAGAATCGACGTCGACCGAATTGTTTTCAGGCCAAGGTGCAAGAGCTGTACTCTACGAAAATTAACGATCTCTCCAGCAAACGAACTCTCGTTCGCTTACAGATTATCAACACCTTTTTTCGATTGTCAACGGCGCAGGTCTAGTCGGTAGGTGATATCTTAGAGAGAGCCTCTCTGTATTTTGCACTGCCTCCGAGACGAGGTAAGTTCTTACAACACGACGTGGGGCGAAATTGCAATGCAAATCCAGGTAAGATTTCTTTACAGCCCTATACTTTTGTCAAAAAAAAGCCGTACTCCCAATGGCAATCTTTTGTTTTCGACATTGTTTTCTTTATTCACCAAGAACTGCATCAGTAATGAAGTATGGGCTGTACGGTTATCTTTTCCAAGTCCGCCTCGTTTGAATTTGGTTGATGACTGAAATTTGTCGTTCTGATCCTAAGACAAAAATTCAAGCAAGTTATAATTTGGCCAGCTGTTGTTTATTCTGAGAAATGTAATATAAATTTTGAAACAAATTACTGGCATTTGTATGCAAATCTGAACGATCTATATTTCTCATTTCTTTGATGATAAAACCTCACCGGCAACACTCTCCTGAAATTCGTCAATGCATAATGAATATCTACTAAGGCTAGATTATCTTTCAGATAAAGTTTGACTTGCGGTGGCAATTGTAGAGAAAAGTCTATGCCAAAGACAGTTGACTCCTGTGTTTAAATATGTAAGATAAACATAGAAAATAATAATAAAAAAAGAACGCATGCGAATTATTAAAAATAGAATTGGCACCCTTTAATTATCAGCCTTTTAAGTGTCACTACTTTAAGTATTTTTTTTCCTACAAGTCAACATCTGAAGGGATGTAACTAGGAGGTCATTTAATTATCTTCAGCCATACATTTCATGTGATAAGTCAAATTGCAAAGTACATGTATGATAAATTATTTAAAGATGTTAAAAATTGATTGTTTAATCTAGAATCCTGCTTTGTAACACTGACGCAAAAAATGTCATTCTGAATGCGTTGATAGCTTTGCAGAAATTTACATGCTTATAGGCTGATAATGAAAGAAATGGGATTATTCAGGGCTTGGGAGAGAAACAGCGGGATGTATACTTTTCTTAGCAAAATAATGTAAATGTTTTTCGTTTTGAGATAATTTAGGCAATCGCTCGTGAGGATACCGAAAAGTAACGAAGCAAAAATGACTGCACTGACAGTGAGTATATATACATGTCACGTCCAATTTTTTTTTTCAATTCAAGGAAGAGATTATCCAGTTGACGAGATCTATCGTCTTATCTTTGTTTACAAAAAGAACAACATGTCTTTTGAAAGAGTAGAACTTCAGTCTTGAAAGAGGGCAATATTAAAAGAAAATTACAAAAGCAGTGTGAGAAAATTTGTTGAAGTGTAGCACACGTTTTCAGTTCCATTTGTGTCAAGTTCACATCAGTCGCCTGCAGCGTGCCGAAGTGATTTACAGCTGCAGTCTTTTGCTAAACACTATTACAAGTTGCTGTAAGAAACTTATCCTCTAGACGTACTTTTTTATTTCAACGCATACATTTTCCATGAAAATGTAAAATGAAACAGAAACTTACGGTATAGTTCATATGCACGCCTTACTTGCCTACATTTCCCTCGCGTGCTTATGCATAATCAAATCTGAAAATAATAATCTATATGTCGTCACGTTTCCTATTGTATTCAGTTACTAGAGAAAGTTAAAATGCAGCAGGTTTTATAATTGTGCACAGCGTGATACCAGCAAGTGCGGTGAAGATTTTCTATCTCCTTTTTTGAATTAGTAAAGTGTCCTCTCTCAGTGATGTGATGTGCGGTAGGTGTAAAACACAAGGTTCTAAAAATTAAAGAGAGGAGGGAAGGATATAATGAAATAGGATCAAGAAAGAAATAAGGTCAAATCATCATGGGGCGGAATTTCTCGGAGGGGCAAAATTTCACAAACGAAACTGTGCCTTTTTTTTCGTCGGAGGACGACGAGAGGTTTGGTGCCCTCTTTGTGAGTAGTTGGATTTTAGTGATTTGTGGACTAATCGAGAATGCTATTGTCTGCTGGATTTTGATCCGTAAGAAGAAATGTTTTAAGAGCTTTTCGAACTTTCACTTACTGAATCTAGCTATTACAGATATTCTCTTTCGTACCGTTTCCATCCCGGATTTGTTAC